TATTTCGGTGCCATCTTAGAAAGACTGGAACTGGGGCCATGTGAAGACAGTGAACCAAAGACAGAAGAGGAGAGGGTCAAGAACATCAAAAGGGCTCTAGCTGAGGGATACTTCATGCAGGTACTGGAGATGTTGGGTTGATGTTTTCACTTCTTTTCTTTGTAAGATTTAATGGCATTTAATAGCATAAAATGCAAAATAGCATTTACTGTTTGTTAGATTCTGGAACATCCAAAACATATTGACAATTGCCATGCCTTGGATACATGCATATGTAAGGTGAAAGCATTAACAGTGGAAAGAAAAAGGTTTGGAATATAACATTAGATATCACAGGTGGACAATCTATGAATCTTTACCTTCAGTGAACTGCTGAACCCTGGGCTTATTACAGGTAGCACATGACCTGGATGGGACTGGGAACTACTTCATTGTGAAGGAGACGCAGGTGGTCCAGTTGCACCCCACCACTTGTCTGGACAGCAACCCCGGCTGGGTCCTGTACCACGAGTTTGTCCTGAGTGAGAGAAACTACATCACAACACTGACAGAGATAGAACCTCAGTGGTATGTGTCTTCCTGTACTGTTTTTTTTTTTCGATCAGAAAGGTACCGTTAGTTCATGATGATTAAATGATGAAACCATAGATACAGAATAGGAGGGATTAGGAAAATGATATTAGAAATTGCAGGAATATGTAATGCAAAGGAAGATTTTGGTAATAAATTATATTTCATTGTATCCTCCCTCCCCATAGAAGTGACACTTTCAGATAGCATTCATTACATGCATTTTATATCTCACATACATTGTACATGTATCTCATATGTATATTTATATATAATGTATGGTATGGCAATGTTTTACCTTACTATTCTACCTGTCGTTTTCTCGCCAGGTTGTTTGACATCGCACCCAAGTACTTTGACCCCACAAACCTCCCCCAGGGTGAAGCTAGGCGCCGCTTCCACTCCATCCTGGTCAAGTCGGAGCTTGCAGTACCGGGCAAACCTGCTAGGGAGTGGGCTGGCCCGGGCGTGGCCCAACCTGCAGCACCCAGGAACTTCACTTCCCACCCGGGCAGGGGACCAGTCCCACACGGACAGACCAGGGAAAGAAAAGAGGAAGATGATGATGACTCGAAACTTTGCGTGATTAGTTAACAAATGAACAACTTTTTATGGAAATGCTTCCAAGACATGCATGTCAGGACACACCAATGTTTTTAAACAATGGATTTCTGGCAAGACAGAGTGTGAGGACTACGGTACTGCAATAGTATGTATGCTGCAGCCCAACTGGATGTTGGGTAGTTTCTGCAACTCTAGATTACATACCTAGCAATTGTAGTAGTGAAAGTGCTGCTTGAGTGTTTGAAACCTTCGCCAGAGAAGCTACACCTCATGATAACTGGTAACAGTCCAAAATGTTTAGTCTTTACTGTGTATGCTGATGACGCTTCATGCCAACATATGCATGGATTGTTTCCTCAAAGGAAAGTGTTTTGTACAGTGTAGATGGCTAGCTGCATCTTTGATCATGGATGGGAAACTAATAAGAGGTTAAACTTGGAAAAGCTGACATGTTAACTAGCTTGTCTTGAAAAGGCTGCTGCAGAATCTTACAAAATACAACTGGACATTTTTACTATGAGAGTCTACAATCAATGTGTGTGACAGACTATGGGAAAATATATTTTGCTAGACTATGAAAAAGATGCCTTTGCTATAAACCCCATGTTTTTTGAAGTGGGTGACGGGCAAGAGAATTCCGAAGTGTACTTATTGAGAGCACATAATTATGCACTGCTGCTATGTTGCAAATTTTGTACCTTGGAAGCAATAAATGTTGCACTTGTACTAGAGACTAACTGTGGAAATGTTCGTGGTGCCAAAAATAAAGCACTATTTGTACTGCATTTTGTGTCATCAATGTGTCATCAATCATTTACACTTGGAAACTTTAATATGTGGCTTTGGAGGGCATGTACATGTACATATGTAGTAATCCCAGAAATGTGTCGTATCCCAAGTTACATGTAACTTTTAACAAATGTTGTCAATGCCTTTACTTTGAGTGTTGATTTGCTTTTTATGCAATGTTCAACTTCAACTACCCTAGTTTCAAGTCACAGTGTAAAGGACCTAAAGAAAGCTAGTAAGTGTTGAAAATGGATTGGAGCATCCATTTTGTACTGGGTAACGGTGCCCCAGGTATATGACCTGAGGTAATACCATACATGTAGCACAGTGGTTAAAGTAGAATTTTTACACAGAGACCATTGAATCTGCAATTAAGACTTACTGACATCATAATAACTGTTTTACTTCAAACTGAATTCTTCACAATGCATGGTTTGGCTTTTAACTGTAAAATTTCTGTTCTCATCCAGCTCCAAATCCCTGATCCAAACCATGGCATAGTAACCACAATACATGTACATGGTATAACTTTGAACTTTAAAACAAATTCTAGATACATCATTCTAGACATAAAACGTATGTCAAAAACAACACAAATCCAAATATTGCCATTTTGTACAACACATACATGTACACATTTTTATGATTTATGTTGAATTGGCAGAGTGGAATGACATCATTCCTAGGAATGCAACAAGAAATACGTCACTTATTCAAATAAGACAAGAACTCTACCAAATGTTTTACCAAAAATATTTTGGTAAAACAACTCATAAGTAAACAAGAACAGTTAAAGCCATCCTGGCAGTGAATTTCCAATAGATATGCTTTGTTGTACAATAGATAGCCATTTTCAGTGTCAGGAAACTCAGCTCTGATAGAACATAGAATGTGGACTGCTTTTGACAATCTTTACAAGCATTCATTTTGGGTGGCAAACAACATACTGCTTAAACACAAATATATAAAAAGTTTGAGGTTACAGAATGGCTACTTTTTTCTTTTAAAGTCTTCCAGCTTTCTTGGGCAAAAGTCTTAACATAATGACACATATAAACATTACAAAAATGTACAATCAGAATGGACATATACATACTGGCGTCAAGTTAGTTATACAACTCACACAGGAATGTTATTCACCTAAGTTATGCTCAACTTATATGCTCAAGTTTCTAGCGCATGACATACACATGAAATACAGAATTTGGATTGTGCAAGCACATTGCACACAAAAGACACAAATATGTATATCATAAACAATCTATTACTCAAAACCTCTGATTGTTCATCTGTGTCCAAACCGGACTGGATTGTCATAAAAGCGACAGACACAGACAGAATTTTGATAAAAAACTAAAACTTGTATGGCACAAACAAAATATTTTCTCTCAAACTGTACATGTTACCTATTTCATAAGGTGCTAACCATTTAAGATTTACATTTAAGACTGTACACTGTACACAAGTAAGAAATCCACAATACTGTAGTTATACTTCTGGAGGACAAGAATCTGTGTTGTGGCAGCATAAAAGGCAAGACATTTTAGTGTCAAGTTCTTTCAATTCAAGTACATCTGTCAACAATGCTCCACACTTACAGACAATTCATTCACATATGTATGTCCAATACAGACTGACTCACAAAACAATCACCCGGACAGTGTTGAGCTCTAAACACTTGTTTCATTCCTCAGTGACATTGTACTTTTCATGGTCCCTGACGAACTTGATGGTCTGAAGTCTAACTCTACCCTGTCATCCGACTCCCCTTCTCCAAGCAGTCCGTCCTCTGGGGAGGCCTCGATCACATCGTCCAGTTCAATGTCCGCAGGGCCGACTGGCTCCGTCGTGTGGGACTCATAACTTTTCTGTGTATTGGCATCACTGTCAGCTGTGTTACTGTTTCTATTATCTGAGTCTTCGTTGCTCTTTCTTGGCTTCTCCTCCTCCTTTTTGGGAGGCCGAATCTCTGGCTGGCTCGCCCGGCTCTCCGGCCGGCTACTGTTCTCAGGCGTGGTGGCCATGTCGTGGCCGTACGGACGCTTGACCATGAGCTTCATGGCCTCGTGGTACGGGTTTCTGTGTCTCGTTGATGGTCTGTGCAGAGGGTGTCTGGGGATGTGTCCGTTTGGTCTGGACACGTGGCTCTGACTGCTGTGTATGCTGTGGCTGTGGCTGTGGCTGTGAGTGTGGGTGTGAACAGAGGGGTCGGGGAAGCTGCCGTTACCCACCGACCCGTTGCCCACGGAGGGTCCGTTCCCAAGCGGGAGGGGGGTGAGTTTGGGCCTGTTGCCCTGTTGCGGAACAGACGAGGCTGTTCTGTTGGTCTGCGAGGACTCCAGGCTACACAGGGAGTGTGCCTTACTCCCCTGGATGTGCCCGTTGGCCGTCACGGCAGGTTCCACCGTGACGTGGTAGTTATTTTTAGGTTCTCGGTAGTGGCACATTCTCCAGCTCTGCCTGACGTCCTCCCGGGTCACACAGTAGTGGATGAACACGAACAGGCCGAGAGAGGCGCTCGCCGCGCCGTAGAAGCAGCTGAAGATGAGGTCCACATAGTACTCCTGGGACACCGCGATGGCCGCGCAGGCCCACATGGCCACGAAGTTGAACATGATGAACACGATGCTCCTGAGCTGGTTCTTGAAGCTGTGCTCCATGTCGATGTACGAGGTGGTGAGGTACGAGGCGGTCGTGCCCGCTGCGGACTCCGACTCTGGGACGCTCTGCGCCGCGGCGCTGGGGGCCTGGCTCAGCTCCTGCTCTGTAAGGGACTCCACCATGGTCTTCAGCTCGTACAGCGTGGGCGCGGTCTGCACGGCACAGGCGGTCCGGATGAACAGGAAGCAGTTGACCAGGCAGAACAGGGCGGCCGGACCGAAGAAGGCCAGCAGGCTGGCATCCCACTCCATCCAACAGCTGAAAAAAAGCAAACAAATTGAAACAATTACACTATGCAACAGCATCCATGCACATCGAGTGGAACTCGCTGCCACCAAGTACAGTTGGGACATCATCACATTTAAACAACAATTGCTGTTAGATGTGCAACGGTTGGGTGTAACCAGTCTTTAGGAGCACTATAGCCGGCTGCCAGCATGCCGCAAAATTGGCGAGTTACACTGAAGGGCAGTTATATTGGCTATACAGATACATTTCCCACTTACATATATTATACTAGTATTTTTATATAAATCTAAAAACAGAGTTTGCATTCCTATACCATTGGGAGAAGAATAGCACTTACAATTTGTCCCCACCATAGTGGTGCAGGTTGGCAGCTGCTGTGATGCCACAGATGATCATGGGCACACCTGGTGGAGTCAGAACAAAACATGCCATGATGTATATTATATATCATCAAACAACCTTCAACGTCTATGATATGCACTGTTCAATTCTGCTGCAAGCATTAATCTACAGTGTAAACATCAAGTAACATAGAGGAACAAAAACACATCTACATGTATTATATTGAACAAAAATCAATGGATGATGTTTGTACATGTAGCAGTCTCCTCGAGGAATCAAAAGACACCAAAGTAAATCAAGATGTCACTCACCCCATCCAACCAGGTAAAATCTCAGCATGGGCCTGGGTACTGGGACCTGCAGGTCAGGGGTCAGCATCTCCACCTTGGCCATCTGTTTGTAGACGTTCCTGGCGCCGATGCCGATCCACAGCAGTGTGCAGAGGGACATGAGGTGGATCACGATGCCCACACCCTGGCACACCTGCAGGTTCAAGTTCAAGTTTGTTAGGAGAAGAAATTTGCGGGCCAGGTCAGCCTGAATTGTGTCCTTCATAATAGATTTCAATAGACTTAATGCTATGGGCAGACTACATTATATGTTCAATAGTCATTGCCATACATTGTAAATGTACCGTGTACAATTGTCGTGCAATAAAGTTCTTCTTCTTCTAAAAAATGCATTATAATACAGACACTACAAAACCTGCACATTATCCGGTACAATTAAAAGTCAACTTCATATTCATAAGTAAGAAGAAATACAGTAGAACATGATAGAGTTTAACCTTCTCGTTGTAGATGCGGTTCACTCCGCCGGTGAAGGCAGCACAGCCCAGCGACACGTTCAGGCACAGGTTGATCAGCATGTGGAAGTTTCTCCTCGGGATCTTGATGTTTCTGGAAGGACAGTAGAATAGAATGGATAATGTGAGTACAGTAATTTCAGTCCTACATAAAATGTTGGCAGAATGTACTGCGCCTGTGCAAAACCCAGATTTTACATGGTTTTCTTTAGACATACATGTATCATTAGCGTTGCATTACAATTTTGCCCATTGCAGATGATACAATTGTATCTTTTCTGACAAAAGATTTGAAAACAAGATGTCATCCTTAAATATGTAAATATGACTTTAGACCAGTAGCATATTTGTAAATGTCTGACTAGATCTAACCTTTACCTTTAGAATGCAAAGGTAGCTGTTTTACCAAATTTGTTCTGGTTATGGGGTTGCTATGCAGCAAGGAGAGGGTTAAGCATCCATACCTTCTAAAGATGACATAGGTGAACAGAGTGGCAAGCAATCCCAGGATGCAGAGGGCACTCCCAGCATACACCACAGGATGCAGCGGCTCCAGGGGTCCATACAGGTGTGGGTACCACCCGCCATTGGGATTTTTCAAGTCCTGAAAATGTGGTCAACAAGGTATGTAAAAATTTGTAGATGACACTTATCAAACAGAAAATATGTTTGTATCAGGGTCAATATCAGAATAATGTGTGATAATAATAACATTAGGACTGAAAAAGAGCACAGCCCTACCTGAAGGATGGCGAAGTTAGTCAGATGGTTGCAGTGGACAGTAGTCAGGTTGACATCAGAACTGACGACCTGACAGCCACCCTGCTTCCACCCACCCTGGCCGTCTGTGGAGAAGAGAATATCTTGGTCAGCATTAAGACTAAAACAACAGTTACATGTACAGTAACTGACATGATAATGTTTACACACTGGAAAATTCTTCTTAGTTCCACAGAGTTATGCTTGTTTGTTTGTTTGTCACAAACAAAGAGAGATGTGGAGGGTTCATACTATAAAAGCTAAGCTTTCCAGAATACCCTTGTACCTTAAATTATTAGCATTTACAGTTGAAGTTTCTGCAGGTCATATGCCATTAATCAGGACAAGTTACTGAACATTGGATGGTTAACATCAAGTTGAACTCACTCAGCTCTGTGAAGTCCCAGAAGACGGGAACCATGTCACTACCATGTGCAAATGGCCTCAGTCTGATCACAACAGGCTCAGACAGGTTCTTAACATCCAGACCATCTGAAAGACAGGAAAGTTGTTTTAAGATAAGCTTAGCTGCTATCATCATATTCAGAGTTAACTGAGAAGTTGCCATATCTAAGTTAGGTATCTTGGTATAACAAGAATCTATACCATTTTAACAACCCAGGCAATATTCAATGACCTCATGTGACCATCTTGTGAGAACACATCACAGATTAATAGAAGGGCACAAAATACAGTTCCTTTGATTCAAGACTTCCCATTCATAAGTATCCCCCATGGCAATGTTGCTGCTAGTTGGAAGACATGTTGAGCAATTGCAAGGTATAGGCTGATAAAATGCATTTTTGCATGATGAAAAGGCATTTAAACAAAAGCCAGACAATCACCTATTCTGCTGGATATGACGTGGGTAACGACAGTCCTCCTGCCCTTCTGGTCGGCCAGGTGTGTGGAGTTGCCGGTACTGGGGAACAGTTTCCCGTTCTTGTAGACCACAAACTGCAGCTTGAAGCTGTCGCTCTGTTTCCTGGGCCTCCGGGACACCACGCGGTTAAACACTGAGGGTGGAATCTGGATGGATGCCTCCAGGACCTGGGTAGGGAAGCAGGGGGAAATACATGTGATTTCTGACAGACACAGTTCCTCAGTTAGCCTGGATGCCAGACTGTTTCAAGGACCAAAGGAAATTTTACCACAGCCTCAGTCAGACCCTTAGTATCTCAGTCAGAGGAGCGGAGGGTGCTATGTGTATACTTTTTGTAGTGCTCTTGGAAGGCTTCCAACTATTCTTGTACATATGGATGGGGATAATTTTAGGGATATTGAAGATGAAGGTTATTTTTTTTGTGTAATAAAGATTAAATTTGGCTATTTTACAAAATTTTAGCCTTACCCTGTTTTTCCCACCAAGTTGTAAGTTGGTGATGTTGCCAGAGTTGCACTTGAAGTGCAGCTCGGTGTATGGAGAACTGTCCTGTGAGTACGCTGAACACGTCATCCCAATAAAACTCTGAGGCTTCACCATGAAGGCCTCCATGGCGATGTTAGCAGACAACTTTCTGATCCCCTTGTTCTTGTTAGTGAGGGTTTGGCTGGCCAGTCTCTCCAGACACTGGACAATTCTGGGGGCATAAGTACATGTAAGAAACATCAATGAGAGAAATGTCCACCACTAGCCTGCAGTACCACTTGTAAATGACAGGGGGCATTTCAACACAAGCAAAATGGTTTGAAGTTGACACAAACAATAGGCTTGTCTGCAGAAGGAATGTAAGAAAGAGTTAACTACAGTAAACACAAAGGTCACATTTGTTGTAAGCAGAAGCCAATAAGGTACCAAATATCTTTGCAAGGCTTTTCTTGCTGGCTAGTTAAGTTTGAAAGCATGTTTTGCCCTAAAGCTTGCAATACATGTGACGTAAGGTGTGTGTACCTGCTACATGCCCGTGCCACCTGTTGGCTCTCCCAAAGGGTCTTCCCATCCACGTCCATCATGTGACTGGCGATGTCCACCAGCACCTCTCCCAGCTGCAATCAAACACACATTCATATTGAAACCATTTACATCAAACATTTACATTCAAAAAGGTGCTTTTATCATGTCTTTCTCTGTGTACGTTATTTTTGGGTGTCCGTTTGCTTGTGTTACTGTAGCAATTTTCACATGCTAGGCGCATGTGGGACACTAACAAGAAGTTAGGTCAAAGGTTCAAGAATTGGTCCCGAAAAAGGCTATCTCATCTCCTATCATCAATTTCCTGCTACGTGTATATGCATGTCCGTAGCCAGGGGGAAATACACAAACAGAATCAAGGAACAAAACAAGATATTTGCAAAAATTCTAGATGTTTACGGAGGTAAAATTTCACCAATGGTTTTTTCTAACGAGCTACAAATGCTGGAAATGAACTGATTCCAAGTACTCAGACATACCTCTCTGTTAGACTCAGTGAAGCGCACAAACTTGTCCATCAGGTTAGAGGTGTAGATGATGTCCATCTTGTCTCGGGAGCTCTTGGCCTCGCTCATGTACGTGTTCAGCTGGTTGGCCAGCCTCAGCACGTTGGTGGTGTTCACTGGTTCCTGATAACCACATTTACATGTAAGTCAGACACAACCGTAAGAGGTGCTGCAATCATTTCTTGTAAATGATGTACCATTATCGTTAAAATTGATGGCTAGTAACACATTGTGAATAATAAAAGTTACATGTGATAAGTTACACACGATAAAATCTACTACAGCAAGCTTGTACATACATGTATGCATCTTAGTTCCATCCCATGTCCCAAATTTTTTGATTGTGCCATGTTTAAGAACAGCTACATGATGTACTTGTATTGAACAAATGTTTTAATAAACATGCTTAAAGTCCACAAAATAGCAACATGCCATCTCTGTAGTATACATGGGAAATTGTAGTACATGTAGATTATGAACTTCAAGATGGCACTTTTGTCTCACCTTAGTGAACATTTCCAACACTCTGGTGATCTCGTTGACATACTGGCACTGCGACACGTCCAGCTCGTACCACTGCCCCTCCCTGGTGCACCTCCTGGTAGCGACTGGCCCCCTGCCCCCTCCTGCGTACCCCGTCCCCCCTCCCTGGGGGCACGGCAGTGATATGGGCACGCCGGCCAGGACCCGCGGCCAGGTGAAGCTGCCCTTGTTGTTGCGGATGGTCTCCTCCTCGCAGTACACAGGCTCGTTACTGATGACCATCACGCTGACGTTCCGCGTGTCGTTGGCGTACGGGAAGGCGACCACGCACTGCCAGACCCCCGAGTCGTTCATCTTCACCCTCTCCACGGTCAGCAAACTCCTGATCAGTGTCTCCCCTTCAGCCGGCGCCGTCTCGATGTGGATGCCGGCTGAGCGGTTGGCGACCACTTCCTTCCCGTTACGCAGCCAGCGTATGCGCATGGAGGCCCCCATGTTGGACGCCTCGCACTGGAAGGGGAGCGGGTCGCCCTGTATGACCAGCTGCATGGTGGATGGGGTCACCCGAAATACTGGCAGGTCAATTCGCTGATCTGTAGAAAAAATGCAATCAAAGATTAATTTTATTTCAAAACTTTTAGAATTGGTACTGAAAGAGAGGTTGCTTTGCTTTGTTTTGTTTTGTTTGTTACAGAGGGTAGACTGTCGCTCAATCGCATCACGTACATATATTCTTTAACGTACAATACATGTACATTACATAACTGGTGACATTTGAACTCTGGCTGTTGATGATATGACTCACAATGCATGAGCCTCCCCTGTGACCTTGTGTGTCCCCACAGTCACCTTGAGACTGAGTCAAGGCAGCCTATGGAATGCTGTGCATGTTGTTGTCATCTTGTTTACCCAACACAATGACAGCAACAGAGTGTTCTGTTAACAGACATTCCCACGATACGGGCCACTAATCTATTCTGCTCCAATCATCACGGTCATTGTTGAAAACACGTACATACACAGCGCGATAACATCCAGTTCGCATTTCAGCAGAGCTGACTAAGTTCCTCCATGATATCCTGGAGGCCATTTTGAAACGTTTTTACGTCCTCTGTCTGCGCTACCCTCTCCGTCTCCTCGCTAATCAAGAAACGATCTGCGTGTTGGCAGAACATCAGAGCTTTTTCCTGTACAAGGCCCGTTTTTGAAGCGGTAGATTTGCCTGTGGCGATCCTCTGGAGTGTATCCTGCTCATGGCGAATAATGCTAAGCATGCAGCGCACGGCCCAGCCCAGCTTTGATGTACCCCACCTGGTGCCAACTACAGGCCGACATCAGGTTTTATACATGAGTTTGTCAGTTCTGCAGCCCCAGGCCAGACATGCACATCAAACATAGGTCTACATCAAGTGCAGTCCTCCACAACCTCCATCCATCTCTCACTCTACTGACTCTATTCCTCAGCTCAGGTCTGCACTTTGAGCTAAAAGATTGATGCGGTAGGCTCACAGTCACTTAATTTTCAGCTACTACTGATTCAGCGGTTTTTCCTACAGACTTTACAATTCAACAATAGTCAGCATTTTTTACTTGATTCGCCAACACATGACTACGCTAAAAGCTTTGTGGACAAAATCTGATGAAACACATCTTTAATGTTGAATTTTGAAGCAACTATGACAGAGAACAAGGAAGCGACTTGAGCGGGCCCTAGCCTGCAGGCTGAGCTAGGTCGGTGACAACAAAGAGCCAGACTTAATAAGGTATAACCTTTTCCAGGCTGCAACCATGAAGATGAGTGCAGGGGGAGTTCCTGAAACCACCTGGGACCACTGAACGGGGAGAAACATCCAGGCAAGCAGAATTTCTAGATTCATATCACCCAGATAGCTCACTCCAGTAGCTGCCTATTAAACAAAACTTCTGCTTCAAGTGTTCTACTCTCCTTCATTAATATACTGGTATTCAATATTTAAAAAATGTTCTAAAAAAAAAAAGCAACACAAGAAAGGGAAATCGTAAAATGGCACAAGAAGCAGACTAGCAACACTATTGAAGAGGGACTGCTAAGCGAAAATATGACTGCAATTTCGTCAATTTCAAGTGGTAGATTCCTATAGATTATTGCTAAGCTTCATTGCTAAATGACAAACAGTGCAGTAATTGACATTAAAGCCCCAACTTTGTTTATAGTGAGGGATACCTGTCCAGCCCCTGGGGTTTTAACCCATGCTCTCTGTCTGCCAAGCTCATGGGATTACAGCATCAGTACAAGGAATTAATTTCCTGCAGATGTCCCTGACTGCACCAGATAAAACTACCTGCCCCCCTTCCTTTACTAGTTGTCTTTACAAGGACAGTGTTGTTTTTTCCTAATATTATACATGATGTTTCAGAAATACATGGTGCAAATATAGCGAAAATATGCTTTTTTTCATTTCACTTATAGCAAGTAACAGAAAACTGAAATCAAGGATAAATGAAAAATACAAAAGTTGACACATTTAGAAGTGCTTTTATAAAGGCTTAGATTATGGAGCAAATTTTAATTAACATACCTGGATCTTGGTTGTACATTTCTAACTGACAACAACCTGAAGGCAGCTGCCTCAAAATGAAAGAACAAAATGTCTACAATACGAGAACACTCACCGCAGGTTAGCTGGCTGCGGCGTAGCTTCTTGAAACGCTGGTTCTTGACCGAAGCAGGGAAGGCACAGACTGTGCTCTCGGACAGTCGTATCTTATTCTTCTTCGTCCACTTCAGAAACCACTTCAGGTGACAGTCACAGATCAACCAGTCTGACTGCAAGTTTCTGTGAAAAGCAAAAATGGAATTTCCTTTTATTCTTGCTTCTATACAAAATCCTCTCTCTTGTCAGATTTTCAACACTTTTGTAACTTCTGTATTGTACTCCGTTTTACCCTTGGTATGAATGAGGTAAAAAGATCAAACTTACATCATCTTAATGTTGCGCAGAGAGCTGAAAGTGTCCTCCACCAATGTCCTGATCTGGTTTCCTTGTAGAAATCTGGAAGACAGTTCAGATTTTCAGCAAACTCTTACAGAGATATGTATTCATGCATACATAAAAAAAAACATTTTTAAGCATTCAATTAGTATTACTCTTTCAAAAGACACATTTCTGTTTGGTTGTTAATTTCAAAACACTGCAATACTCCTCCTTCCCAGAAGTGCTTTCTCAAAGTTGGTACAACCGCACTCTCACAAAAAAATCTTAATGGAACAATGGAAAGAGTTGACTCATATAATCATAGGCAGACAAGGTGCCTAGGTTTTTGAACACTCTTTCCGGCATATTAACAGAATAGGTTATTTAAATTGATCAAGGGGCCAGTGGGGTAAGCTTCACATTGCATTTATCAAAAGCTCTGGCTTTCTGCTTTCCCTGAGGCCACAATACTGAGTAAACCTGGGGAAATACTTTAAGAACTGTATGTCTTAGTGGATGTTATCAACATTGCAGAGGTGCGCAATTAGCTGTGACAACAGAGGGAGCTGTGTTTGCAGACATTTCGGTTATTTCCCTTCATCACCAAGGTTCAGTGACCAGGCCAGAGAAATGTTGCAATCACACAAGTTCCGTAAACAAAATCTTCAATTCTGAACTTACATGTAAACATGTACTTTAAAAAAAAGTTGCAGCTCTGTGGCTACAAAAATTAGTTTTATAAATCAATCAGTTTGTTTGGGGTGTATCAAACATTTAGGTATAAACTTCTGTCATTCAATTCGTCACAATTTGCAGCCTACAGGTAGCAATTGAAAAGAATGGACGGATGGCGTGCTACAAATTGTTCTCTGGGGAAAAAATGACAGCAAAATGCTGATGGATGACAAGATAATGGGAAGATCTCCTAGACAGACAAACAGGATCTTCAAAGTTTCTATGAGCCGACAATTGTCTACATTGTCAGATGTGTGACATAAAATGCATGACAAGTTAGTAGTGCTAGACTTTTTTCTTTATCGCAAATCCTTATGTACAATTTACTGAATTTAGCAATAAGATTCGCAACCATACTTACAGTCTCTGCAGCCCATCCAGACCAATAAACATACTGCTGTTGATGATACTCAGCTGGTTATTGGACAAGTCCCTGAAAAATATGACAGGCAAACATTTTATCCCTGCATAGGACATCAAGGGAATGGTTTATCCTTTGGCAAGCCATATTACCAGAAAATTGTGTAGAAAAATATGAATATAAAATAAATCATTTTTCAGGTAGAGACAACTACTGGTTAGTTTTATTCACATATAAAAAGTTACTTTCTACAAGTATAGCAGTCACAATGGAACATTTTTACAAGAAAGGTTCCAATAGTGACGGAAGCTGCCATAAGCGATCTTATAAAACTTCCATATTCAGTATTTTGGCTGGAAGAATTCAGGTTTAGCTTTCAGACATTTCGCTCAAGCCTGTAGAATGCTACTGACATTCCTCACCTCCAACTTGAACCTGGTTACCAGATAATTTAACATATCAAAGGTCAACTCTAAAAACAGCATTGAGGAGTGAGTTGTTGGTATTTCCACTTATCCAGCACTGTTTAAACATTCCAGACGTTTGGCCTGGCTTTAATGTGTATCAAAATGCCCTGTTTATTTTAGTTTCTTCAGGGTAAAACAGGGCACTAGCCTTAGCTGTAATTCTACAGGTTTAATCTTGACTATCTCTAGCCTGGCTACCGTCCTATTTGTACACCAGGGGTGACTCGCTCTCTTTAGTATAGGAGCCCCAGTATACAAATAATAAGGATAGCACCGAGGCTAGAATATTTCTGTCTTTCATTGCAGCAGGAATCTGAACCCTCTAAAGTCTCATTAGGAGCAAGCCTATGGTGATAGCAGGCTCCATCTTGTCTTGGGTGATCCCCTGTAAGACACTTCAGGTACACTTGACTGGCAACCCACTCCTTTGATGTTTGCAGGGAGGCCTGTAGGATTGACCTGTGGAGTATGATGGCTCTGTGATCACCCCTGCATGATATTGTTCACCGTATCTCTGCGATCTACGGGATTTACAAGGGGCTAATTAGGGCAGAGGACCTGTGCACGGATGTGAGGTGAATTGAGAGTCTTGTAGGGCGATACTTTCTTCTAGTTATACTTTCGTAGCAGCAAAAAGCTCAGAGTAATACTATAGTCAAACATTTGAGATATGCTATCGTTAATACATACTCAGAAATTCAGAAATCAGAATGCATCTAGAACTAATAAAATGTACATACACATCAAATCAGAAGCCAGCTTAGGTATACATGTATGTACATGTACATGTATGTATTTCTTACATGCACATGTAATGCTCTTCCCAACCCACCAGCACCTGATACAAATGTATGGTACATGTTTAGTGGTTCATGTTCAGACACCAGAACATGAAGCTGGCTTTCCTGCATGAAGCAAGTTTCCTGGTACAAGCACCAGACACTTCCAAGAGTCATTCCATATGACTTGTAACCAGCTGTTGCTGAATCAACCTTGCAGGACACCATGTTAACAGTTACTGACAGGGAAGATGACATGTTTCATGCTTCGCCTGAATGAGCATATTTTGCCGACTGCTGAAGCAAGCAGACCCTGTACTTAAAACATTTCTGCCATAAGGTGCAGAACAATAAGGATGTCAGGTACGAAGGTCCCTGTCATTACGCAGTAGATTACCGCCCTGTAACAGGTGTCACCTCTGCTTAAAGTAGTCTCTCTCAATTAGGGTGGCTGCAACGTGTGCAGTAAAAAGGAGATGTTTTTGAGCACTCAGCTTCCTTTAAATACATGGCATTTTTCTTAACAGCATTAAGTTATCAATATGCAAAAGCATACAGGTGGAATGGGAGCTGTCCAATTTCTATCTCAATATGAACTGCAGTGAAGTACTATTTTCACAAAAATGTAGGTAACGTTACCTGAGGAAAATGTTCATAGCTCAAGGGTTGATTTCATAATTTCAAATTAAAAGACAATGATTGAAAAGGGAACATCAATTTAGAGAATCCTGATTTTATGAACAATAGTATGTACCCAAGGCTGTCAGGTTCTTAAACTATGTCAAAAATGTGAAAATTAGAGCACTTAACACAACAATTATATGATAAAACACTGACTCAACAGTCTTTTAGTTAATAAATGGTCTTTGTTGTGATTCACACCTTTTAGAATTCTTTTCTTTTGACTCTAGATTCTTCAGACTAGACTAAGTCATTAGGCATTGTTGAGTATTTTTTCAACAACAACAACAACAAAAAAACATTATTGAAAACAAAAAAGTGTATCTTTCATATTTGAACTTGTAGGTTCCCATACGAGATCATTGTCATTGAGACAAAATAAATTGCAAGCTTAAAAAGAGAAAATGTGACGTTGACAAGCATAACTGAAATCTTGAGCCTGTCACCAAATTAGAGGTTCCTATGCAGATGAGCAGCCAGGTGTTCAAAAGCTACCCACACATCCAGAGATGTTTATCAGCTATTAGTTAAATCCTACCCTGGTTGGAAAGTGCAGGGTGATCAGACTGCTGTCCCACAGGAGGGGGAGATATAGACACCAGATCGGGTGGCACAATTAAAGCTATCTTACTTGGTGAAACCTTTAGTTTAGGAATTCTAACAATCACAGGCTTTTGCCAACTCGAGCAATGCATGGTATCCCACACAGGTGACCTTTTGGTGTGTATTGCAGATGTACAGGATAGCTGAAGGACAGAAGGGCTGTCTGACATGGATGGGGAAGAACGGACTTCCCAGTGACAACCAAGGCTCTAGCAGTAGCTATCACAACAACCCTTGCATACCTCCTGTGCCCCTACTTGCCACTTATACCTACACTACCGCAAACGTCTTGATATTTTGCACCATAAGGACTTCATGGTGGTTACCTCACAATTCTAACCAGGAGGACAATCTCTTCTTTTTATCAGTCAACCTTTGTAACAATAATCACAGGGTTGCATTCATGTAAGATCAATGACCGAGTCAGTTGGAGATTTCTTTTGAGATTACCAATAAAAGAATCTGGACAGACGACTCAGGGACTATAGGTTTACAGGTTGGCACATGTGGATGATTATTTCTGTACAGAGAATGAAAATGAGCAGATAACACTTCAAGAAAAATATGAAATTAAGCACATTAATCCCCAGAAAGGGAGGTGGACTTAATGCAGGAGACACAAACTGAAATCCAAAACTTTTACATGTGTTTGAGGTAATCTTTCTTATGACTTTCCTTTTCCTGCCAGGTTTCAGGTGGATTTTAACTTAAGGCAAAAACACATCAAGATGTTTGCTTTGTACGACTGGAGGATCGTAGGAGAAGACTGTCTGCTCTCATCATCGTGATCTTTTGTGTTTGTACTTGTGACACACCTGAGAGAACCTTGAACAGTCTGACCACACCCAAGCCTTTCAACACCGAGATTCCTCCTGTTGATAGCATTGTCCCTTTGTTCTCTTATCTATGTTCCTTCCTTCCTTTGACGTGCTTCATTGCCCCGATATTGTGCGACAGACGGCATATCTCTGTACCCTGGCTTAACAGGTATTTGACGACCGTGAAACACAAAGCTGAATATATCACTTTAATTCACTTCAAACACCCAAATGGCTTGCATCCACAGACAGACTCTTTGAAGAAAAACAACAATTACCATACATTTTTTCTTGCACACACAGATGGCATTTTTCACTTTGATAACCTTCCTGAAGACTGCCAAATTCTTCTCAAGAGATAACAGTACCTTTTAGATATGAAGGACTCACCCCTTTGAAGATTTCACATGTGTTTGTTTCAGTCAGCTATTTTATCTTATCTTTGGGTGATACTAGACACAGCTTTCTTTAACATTAAAGTCCTGGCATCCCAAAATTTTAGCTGTTGCTTAATTGTTTCCTATTCTATCAACTTTTAGAAAAACATGAGAAAACCATATGTGTACTGCTTATCTGCATCATTTACATATATGTAGTTTTATCTATCATATAATGATTTATAAACAAGTTATCTCTAGATCAATCAATCAATTTACAGAGTGATTCATTAATCCCAGTGATATCACTTGTATGTTGCTAGCATATGGCATGGTTATACATTTTATACATTTATCATGTTTCAAAGGACTCCATTGTCAGGGTTAAAAGTGCATACATCTATACTACTTTCACATCAAGTGGGACAGCTGATGCAGACCTCCTGCAGATGCTCCTATGCAAGCCCTTTATGTTTGAGGTATCTACCAGTTCTTTACCATTACACAGCTGCAAGCCTGTACCCACACAATACTGTACTTCTGACAAGCTGACCCCAGCAGGACCTAGCATCCTTGGTGGGGAGACTGGATCCAACTTGACTGTTGACAGAATGGTCTGACAACAGGTAGTTTAAACACTTGTGAAGAGGATTATAAAATGATACACTTTGGAGTTTTGAGAATGATTCGTGACACACCATTTATGGACAACATTTCATACTCAAGTCCTGGTATCTCAGTAGTTCACTTGAACTTGAAATTGCCGAACAGTATTTGCTACTTTTCGTATTTCAAACTGTGCTCCCCAATAAGTCCTGTGGATGGCAGACAAAGTTGTATGACTGCCTGCACACCGCAATTCGAAGAATACAGGCAGCTAAGAAATTTCAATTGCAGTCAAAAGTCATGCCTAATAGCCCTGGGCAATTAGGGGGAGGAACCCTACCCTGACCCAGCCTGTCACTGTTTCACCTCTGATTACTTAAGTAAACATAAGATTAGTTTTCTGTCACACAAAATGTCACTCTTTTGTGTCCCAGCTTGTTGTAACATAAGTGGTTAGGGTAGCTAAACTGTAAAACATGCTCCTTGCCAGAAGAGACACTTAAATATGGAGCAGTGAAGAAACCTGAGCAAATCTTCAATCACCAACATCACAGCTGGGAGTGACATTTCTAGTTCTTCAGGAAGTTTTTCCCATTTTCCCCATACCTGCACGACTACAGTGATATGCCTTGATGTAGGACAACATTCGGCACCACCTAAGTAGTACAATGTAGACCATCCCAAAATTGTAAAATTTTCTATGTCACAATAACAAACAAAGTTTTTAGACTGTCAACAAGGAGGGAAATGCCATTACTGGGACCTCAGTTTCAACATCTAACATAGAAGTTGGAACGCTCTCCCATCTACATTGAAAACAGCAGCTTCCGTCGCCTCGTTTAAGCGTTTGTATAACCAGAATGTTCTCGCAACATAGTAACCGTTACTTTTGTTTTGTAACATTGATATGCAAATTTCCATTACCTTCTTTATTTATTTCATTTGTTGCATTTTATTCGCTTGTTTCATATAAGTTATTAGTTTACCGTATGATTTTGAAGCACTTTACCAATATGTTATTTTTGCAATTAGTTAATTGTACCTTTGTTTTCCTGTTTGTTATTTTAAGCTAATAAGTATATTTTGTAAATGTATATGTCCGCAGGGAACATTGAAAAACGCCCTTGCGGCGACATGTTTACCCTGGGTAAATAAATAAAAATGAAATGAAATGAAAAGTCTATGTTTCAACATAGAAGTAAATGAGGTGGCCAACAAAACTTGGTAAAGACCTTGGGACTATGATAACATCAAATTAATTAGTCAAATATTTCACCTCTGGTGTAAGTGTAACAGGGGTGAAAGAATGAGTGAGATAATACAGATGGGTACAAATAGATGTTAACTTACAGTTTCTCCAGTGTTCCCAGACCAGTGAAGGCGCCCGCTTCGATTGTACTGATACCGTTGTCACTCAGGTCCCTGGAGAACAAAACAAGATTGGTGACTTCTCAACTCATTATGTATATATAATTATTCTAATATATACTCATTTACAGAGTATGCATATCAATGATAATCAGAGCAAACCAAAAATATCAAGTGCGTTTATATGTTTGAAGCACATGCACAGTCCTTAAGGTCAATATTACATCTTCATCTATACCCAAAATTTTCACATTTCTGGTGAACTGAGAAGCATTCTGTACACTTGATCTTTGTCTGTTTTGTCAATTTTTCAATCTTTGGCTGTACCATATTCATATTCATATTCAAGCTTTATACTAATCTCAGTAAACAAAAATCAAAACAGCTGTAGCTGAAAACTGATCATTCATAACAACTGTGGGGTATTAACTACAGGACTTTTATGGTAAGCTAAATCAGGGCAGTAATCTTTTTGATCCAATATTTAAAAACTTTATGATATGCAGGGGTCAGTTTCTCACAAGTGGACAGATGGCAGCCGTCACATAAGCAGGCTGAATTCGCAAGGCGGGATCAAGATTTTAATCCTCGCAAAGGATCCAATAACCTCTACATCTACACCACACTTCCGCTCTTTAAACATTCAGCATGGCTGGGAGACGGCAGGGACTTTAAATTATCCAGACTAGCAGGGGAAGAATGTGGGAAAAATGTGGCCCAGACATGGCCCTAATCATGGGCAATACAAGCCACTGAGTACTAGTGTTGGGACAACAAGCTGAGGGGGGAGGGGGGCACCATACATTCTAACTTATCAACCACTCAGAGGCTGATAAACAAGACAGACGACCCTGTTCACAAGCTGGATTTCATTCAGATAAAGGTAAATCTTCCAAGGAAACCTCAGGGTATATTGGATGGCACAAACCTGTTGATAACAATGAGATGAAAGAAACCATTTATATATTCTATGCTGAAATTTCATAAAAGTTATCGTGAAACTTCTTATACATGCACAGACTAACTTTTACCCAATAAATGTAATCTACAAACAGTTGTACCCCTTAATTACTCCAAAGTCCAAACTGTTATCATTTTTGTTATCATTATCATTCCTTATCTCCATACCTTCCTCTAGCCAGGACCTACACCAGCAACTCTTATCATTTTTATCACTTCCTAATGAGTTACAAAAAATGCCGCCAGGAAGTATGCTGCAATGGACCTATACCATTATTACGTCACAGTTTGTTTACCTGTTCTAAAGAACATTCTAGAACAGTCAGTTAAAGAATAAAGATCATTTCAAAGTTGTCAAAGTCAGGTATGTTTGATTTTTGCTGCGTCTACTTGTGTTGACACAGCATTACATACCACATGGGTGATTTAGTTGTGACATCAGACGAAAATAGTACTGTATAAAATCCTTATATTAGGCTAACGCTACACAAACAAACACCGCGCTACGCACCCCTGTACAATATAAACGTCGATTGACCGGCATTCATTGCGGTAAACAAACTGTGACGTAATAATGTGATAGGTCCATTACCAAACCTTCGAAGGACCATTCAACATTCTTACTTAATCAATCTTGATATTAATTCTATATTCAATTATACTGTATCATTCAAACTGACAGAGACTGTGTTCTATCACTCTATTCTTGACCAATCTAATGCTTAGTGTATATTACAGAAAATCCATCCCAAATGTTGGAATTAAAAAGTGACGACACTTTCCTCAGGTCATCATTTCAACATGCTGGACACAGTGGATCAAATCTTACAACAGAGGTTGTTGTTTGAAGACATTTAATATCATTCCCTAAGCTCGCAAACATGAAAGAATGCAAACCAGATGAGTTACTGACTTGATGAAGGAAACGGCACAGGAAAGTCGTTAACTTTTAAAGAAAAAACAGTGAAACCGGGGATGAAAAAAGAGACAGTCCGAAGCTGTCAGCGGCAGATGGCTGTTGTGGCTCCCATGATTCATTGCAGCCATGCCAGCAAAAGGACTTGTAGCAGCTTCCAGAAAATGATACCATTGACCTCCCCGGTCGAGAGCAGGAGGTTTTATGGTCATGGCTCTGTCGGCTTCTTTGAGCTTCGACTGTCGACTGCATACGGGCCTTTTTACAGCGAGAGACCCTCAATCACCTTCAATCCTGTCCAGTGAAATACTTGATTTTACCGAGCATGAAACTGTCTGTTCCATAAAGATGATGCACTCAAGTCAACCCATAAATGTTCCATTACTCTGTAAATGTGTATAGGAGCGCCGGGAACAGGCAAAGGGATTCAATGACTCGTGTGAGCGGCATTGTTGAAAATTGCCCCTTGGAAGATAGGGCAGACTTTCAAGGGTTTCAGATAAGCTTGACATGACAAATGGAGTTATTGGAGATTTTCCATTTATCATTTATGAACCATATTGGAGCGAGAAGTCCGGCTGATTGAGATATGGTTGTCATGGACATCAAAGAATGGAACAAACTACCCAGGACTGTACCATTTCAGTTTGAGGGGGACATCATAGAAAGTTTTCTCATCTACCACTTCTAACTTTTCAACAGCAGTTTCACATCTAGATCTTCTTGTCCATCTTTGCAAGACCACTAGTCACAACAGTAACTTATAACACCCCATGTTTGATTTCATTGTACAGAATGGAGGTTCTATCTCCTCAATATTTAGGGATAGGAAAAGTAGTCTTTTTTGTCAAAATGGCATGGAAATATCTTTAAAATAAAACTTACTGTGGGTACATGTAAATTACTTTCAAAGTGCTTAATGTTTCATTCAGCAGTACACCATTTACACATTAAGGTTCTCAGTCTCTGTGTTTGTCATTGAATCGTACAATGACCTGTTAAGTTAGACTCTAGATGTGGCACTCGGGATCAACAAATATAATGCCTGCATGTACATTTAGAAGCGACACACAGTCCCTCAGACAGTAGAACTTGTCCCCATGCGTGATGATGAGTCTGGCCTGAGAACCCAGAGGTGAGACACTGTCTACCCAAACACAGCCAGCAGATAGTGGGTGGCTGTGGTCATTAATCACACAGACAACACCATCGCCTGCCCGGCTTCTCTGGGGGGTTCAGGGTGCTCCTGACCCTATGGCCTAGAGGTCATGGTGCGTATGCTTGGGACAGGGGAGAGCCACTTCAGCTCAAGAGGAGGGCTGCATAGAACATTCCAAAATGTCTCTCATGCATCATCAGCATTGCAAATGCTCCTGTTACATGTAAACAGAAAGTCCTTGAAGGTAGAAATGTTCTTTTCTAGCAACAAAAAGGCAATCAGATCTACAATTCTATCCCTCCTCACCTACGGAGCATTAAACTGGACGACCCTTGGACATTACACTGGCAAAATACACATCCTGGCAGAGGGGAACGGGTCAATTTAGCCCCCAGTACAAACATACTGTAGACAGTTGGGGTCTCTAATGGAAGGTATTTTCTTGCAACATGACAGACAAGAAAAATAATCAAAAGTTGTAACACCATGATCATCATTACCATCAGTGCGTCATCTTCTACATGGCTGTAAACAACTGGGTGTACTTGTATAAATGTCAGAAGATATAAGTATTTCAGTTCTGTGCATCTACAGTTCTGTGAAGCTATAACAGTGTCTTCCAGATTGCAGAATATCTTCGTATGCAGTGGGAATAGAAGCAGGGTTGGTCAGCTCTGCTGAATCTACCTCAGATGTCTGGGTGAGAAGTGGGGCCACCTGATCCTGGAGCCTTCCTCATTCATCTTTCCCCTGTCACTACCCACTTAGCTCTGTGGGGAGCAAATCCACATGTTGGAAATCAATATTTCTACTCAGGTTGCAACTGGCTTGTGGCAGGGATGATGTTCTTGGCGGTACTGTGCCCTTGCCATTTCTGTACAGGGAAGAGTTTGGAAGCTGAACTGCACCCTGAAGTATCAGGAGTGAGAAGAGTCAGTGGGAGATGGGGGAGGGGGTCATCTGTGGATTTGTCAAGGCCAAATGCCACAACAGCTGATAGTTTCAATCAACTGCGCCTCCAGATCTATTGGTATCCGAACTGGCTACTTCAGTGCTGCAAAGGCTACCATACCTTCCCGCTGAAGTAGCCATTTGGCACCAAATCTATATTGGTTGTGCAGCAGGCCGAAGGTTCAAAAGCTTCAAAATCTATAGGAACTACATTGTATGTCCAGTGCAATTCTGAAGTCTTGATGATGAACAGTAGTCCCTAAGGCCTTTTTTGCAGAGAAAAACACCATGTTGCTGATTACTGGGCAAATGTGTGCAGTCTAAGCTTACTGGCCACAGTCTACATACAAGGAATGGCAAGCAGATTACACCTGCATAATCCGTCAGGCTCTGCAGAACAGCACACCTGAACAAAACAAACAATCCTGTCTACCCTCCACAAGTCTTTTGGGATATTCTGAAATACAAACCCAGTCTTCAAACTTGGTAAATTCCTTTGCTTGTAGTAGTTTGTATCCATTGAAAAGATGGTACAATGTATGAACATTAGTAGTGGCCATTACTGAATTGTCCTATTATACAATAGAACAATTGAGAAGTGTAAAACACTTCTCACACAAACACAACTGCAAAGATTTTTCTTGTCAAGATTGGTATCAGTCCAATCTTGTGACTGCGTCTTACATGTTCCCTGTCAAACTATAAACTACAACAACAGTCATCTAACATTTCAAATGTTCATGAAGAATTCTGTTAATCAGACGTTGAATATGATCTGACCTCCCTTCTATTTTGGTACCAAATCTGTACTGGTTACGTTGATAAGCAGCAGTTGGAAGGTTAAAACATGATGTACAATCAAGTTCTATCAGCTCAGATATTCATGCTCTCACAGATAGACCACATCTGCCTTGGTAGTCTGTCTACAGTTATATCTGTGGGAGCCCCACAGGCACATGAAAGCTTACAGCCATCTTGACAGCCAAGCCCCATGTAAATAGTTTGGAAATCTCCCCTGCTTCAACATTTGGCACTTCAGGCCAGTTTGTTGATTACTCAGTAAACTTC